AACACGGGCTTTCATAAATAAGGTTGCCTAATTAAACACGGGCTTTCATAAATAAGGTTGCATAATTCAACACGGGCTTTCATAAATAAGGTTGCCTAATTAAACACGGGCTTTCATAAATAAGGTTGCCTAATTAAACACGGGCTTTCATAAATAAGGTTGCCTAATTAAACACGGGCTTTCATAAATAAGGTTGCATAATTCAACACGGGCTTTCATAAATAAGGTTGCCTAATTAAACACGGGCTTTCATAAATAAGGTTGCCTAATTAAACACGGGCTTTCATAAATAAGGTTGCCTAATACAAGGTTTAAACGTGAATGACATAAACTCAGTTTAGTTACAATAACCAAGAGGTCGTCCATGAAATGCGCCGTCCTTTAGCGGAGGGATGTACAAGAAAGCCACACTATATGCTCAATGACTGCCAGCATAGATTCCGAGGCTATAGATCACGTGAGATCCAGCTCCTCGAATAAGTAGAAGACTCGACGACCAATCTAAAGAACAGCAAGCAGACTGATGTCCTGGTGATGGTCTTCTCAAAGGCATTTGATCGTGTCAATCAAAGTTTGCTTTTACACAAACTGCAGAGATATGGGATCCAAGGAACATACCAAAACATTTATCTTTAGCTTCCACGGCAACTGATGCCAGGCAGTAGTGGTGGACGGCACAATCTCCTCCTTTGTCGATGCTAAGTCAGGGGTCCCCCAGGGCTCGGTCCTCAGCCTCTGTTTGTTCCTAGCAAATATCAATGACCATGCCGAGAAGCTGACCTCCCAAGCAAGACGACACGGCGGTGTATATTATAGAACAGTTCTGACCAGGACCAGCTAAAACAGGATCTCAATCGGCTAGCTGAGTGGGAGATGAGCTGGGACATGTCATTTCATCCTGCCAAGTGCCAGACCATCTCAGTCTCCATAAGTAGTACCCCTCTACACCATCATTACGAAATGCATGGCCATGTACTTGAACCAGTTTCCTCCATAAAGTACCTTGGTGTTACCATTCAAAGAGGTCCACTGGAGCGAGCATATTAACAATGCAACCAGGCAAACAAGACCCTAGGGTTCCTAAGGCAACATCTAAGGATCGGCAACTCTAGTGAGAAAGAAAAAAAACCATATAAAGCCTTTTTCCGGCCGCTTTAGATTACATCTTCAGGCTGTGACCCATTCACTCAGAAGAGGATCGACAGGTTGGAGGCGTTCCAGCGAGGGACAGCACGCTTTGTCCTGAACCGCTTACGGGAATACCTCTAGTGTTGGCATCATGCTGGAAACAATGGGCTGGTCACCATAATTTGAGGAACGGCGACTATTATCCAGGCTGTCCATGAGGTTCAAGATAACAATGGGCTGATCCAGCATTAAACAGAAATTCACCCCTCTCCCCACTATAGACAGCGACGAGGCCATGACAGGCAGTTCCGGCTCATTACAGTAAGTCGTTTAGTACAGGGACAGCTCATTCCTGCTAAAGACAATACGGGACTGGAAAAAAGGAACTGTTGAGGCGACAACACTTGACACATTTGCGACTATTGCCTCCAGCTTTACAACACCCAGTTCCTGATATCCACGCTGAGTAGTCCTTGCAACAAGTGAAGTATCCTCTTCAAAACCAGACACAGGAGCATCGCGAACCCCTTCTACATAAATAGGAGCCAGAATGATCAATACATTGATCGTGGATTCTCAAGATATAGAAGAAGAAGTGGGGTGAGGGAGGGGGTAAAAGATAATATTTGAAGCCATATATTTTTTATCCTCGTGAGGAGATACTGATCTTCCATCGAGCGCCTCCCCAGGTGGCTGATAGGGGAAAGCCCACCAGATATGGAGGGTACCGGGGAAATAAAATAACCGGGGCGGACCAAAATCAGTACCTACTGCCTTGTAGGAAGTGGAGGGATCCACAAAGGCTAGGGACCCGACCCAGTACAAAGGCAGCTACCCTGAGAGCTGCAGGGGGCATCCCCCCAGACGGTTGTGCGCAGGGCTTACGACCCTGCCACGTCAAAAAGCTAATGTTACGAAAGTAAAACCACAATCAGAAAAACGGACTGATATTTATGGATTTCGACCCATGCCTGACCACACACATAACATTTGGATAGCGACTTGGAATGTACTCAGTTTATACAGAGCAGGTGCCTTGGCCCGCCTCAGTGAGGAATTACTTAGATATAGAATCGTGATTGCGGCACTACAGGAGATTAGATGGAAAGACTCAGATATCCTAAATACAAAGGAATATACAATATTCTACAGAAGAAACAACACAAATACCTTAGGAACAGGGTTTGCCGTCAAAAGAGAGACAGTAAATGCAGTCATTGGGTTTAAACCAGATTATGCTCCATAAGGATTAGAGGAAAAATGTTTAACATCACGTTAATCTGCGCTCATGCTCCAACGGAAGATACAGATGAAAGCATGAAGGAAACTTTCTACGAAACACTGGAAAGAGTATTTGATGAGGCTCCACGCCATGATAGCAAAATAGTCCTTGGCGATTTCAATGCGAAAATTGGAAAGAACTAGTCTACAGATCAACAATCGGAAAGTATGCATGATGAGAGCAATGACAACGGAACACGTCTTATAGACTTCTCCTCTGGAAAAGGAATGACAATCAGTAGCACAGTATTCCAACATAAACAAATACATAAAGCGACATGGATATCTCCAGATGGATTTACCTGTAATCAAATAGACCACGTACTCATCGACCGGAGGCATGGCTCGGACATATCAGATGTGCAAAGTTGTAGAGGGGCGGACATAGACTCAGACCACATGCTTGTTAGAATCAAATATAAGCACAGAATTTGTAACTGGACCCACTGGTCAACCAACCAACTTTAAATGAAATAAAAGATGTAATCTCCACCATGAAAAATAACAAAGCCCCAGGAATAGACCTTATCCCTGCAGAACTCTTAAAGCTAGGTGGTAGAGAACTGCATAGGCAAATACACGAACTTATAACCAGAATCTGGTAGGAGGAATAAAATGCCAACTAAATGGGACACGGCACTCATAATCCCAATCCACAAAAAGGGATCTAAGTTGATCTGCTCAAACTATAGAGGTATCTCCCTTCTTAATGTACAAAATCCTCACAAAACTTATAGCGAGAAAATTGGAAAAGTATAGTGAACAGATCCTAGGGGACTATCAATGTGGATTCCGGCAGAATAGGTCAACCACGGATCATATTTTTACTATAAGATGTCTCCTGGAGAAATGCTACGAATATAACAACGACATACACCAACTATATGTGGATTACAAAACAGCATACGATAGCGTAAACAGGAATTACTTATACAATGCTCTACAAGAACTTGGAGTCCCTAACAAGCTTACTCGGCTCATACACATGACAATGGCCAACTCCAAAAGCAGAATCAAGGTTCAGGGAAAATATTCAAGGGAGTTCATAGTTAATCGGGGCCTCACACAAGGAGACTCACTATCGTGTATCATGTTTAACATCACGCAGAAAAAAGTTATTAGAAGCATTCACATTAGCACCAGTGGAACCATAACAAACTATTTCCAGAGAGATACTACAGAGCAATGACCATCAGGAACATTATATAGCCAACCATTGCAGTACCTGGCATATGCAGATGATATAGCACTACTGGGTAGAAACCGTAATGACATAATTAAAGCAATTAGGGAACTTGAAAATGCCTCATTCAAAGCTGGCCTTGATATAAATGAACCGAAGACAAAATATATGATAATGTCAAGAAACTCCCATGCTGATAATAGCATCAATATAAACAACCACAAATTTGAGAGAGTGGCCACATTCAAATATCTAGGGGCAACTATAAATGAGCACAATGAGATAATGTCGGAGGTGAAAGAAAGGATAACAGCAGGCAACCGCTCCTATTTCAGTCTACAAAAGCTACTGGGAAAACAAAAACTTATCAAGGGGAACAAAGAAAAAAATATACACCACCATCATAAGACCTGTAGTAACGTACGCTAGTGAGACCTGGACCCTCACCAGAAAAGCAGAGAACCTGCTCAACACATGGGAGAGGAAAATCCTCCGCAAAATATACGGACCAGTGATTGAAAATGATATCTGAAGAATACGTACAAACCAATAACTTTACTATTTGTACAAAGAACCATCCATAGTCACAATGATAAAAAAAGGCAGAATACGCTGGGCAGGTCATGTTGAAAGGATGCCGGAATGCAGAGCAGCCAAAATTATATACAGGCAGAAGCCTAGAGGCAGACGACTCATCGGTCGCCCAAGGATGAGGTGGATTGATGATGTGGAGACAGATTTACACCAGTTGGGGGTTCGAGCATGGAGACGGAAAGCCATGGATCGCTCTGAATGGAAGGATGTGGTGGAGCAGGCCAGGGCCCTACATGGGCTGTAGTGCCATTGATGATGATATATTTTTTATCCGGCAAATAAAATCTGAAATTGACAGTGATGTTTAACTTTCTGTTGTGGTGGAAGTATTATGACAGAAGATGTCTCTTTTATAATAAATAAAATGAAGTGCGTTTTAGATTTAATTTTTGTTAGTTTTTAATTTGTTAACAAATGTTTAGTTCGTAAGTGTTACGTACTTTAACAGAGTGGGTCACGAGGTTGTGACCTGGGGAAAGGGGGGGGGTGTAAAATTTGTACAAAATAGCGTAATGTATTTTATGGACGACCCTTTATCAAAATCTGATTTAACAATATATATGAGACCATATGAGATAAACAGGAAATATTGGCGTCTGAAGGGGGTGTGGAGGGCGTCATCCGCCAGGGACGGCACTTTAAAAAAAAAAATCGAGAGGCGGCCTTTTTGGTCAGCTACAGCGTCTTTATCATGGACATATTCGGCAACGTGCTTGGCCCGCCAAACCTACCTACGCCCTTGACAGGAAACATTAATTTTACCAAACTTATATTGAAAGCGGGACAACAATTCAAAGCGACCGGGACCGGGCTGCTAAACCGAGACGATCTCAGCCACACAGAGAACGCGTCGTATGCCTTGCAAAGCATGAAGTGAAATTTAAAAAAATTACAACTGAAACCATGCAGAGGCGTCACGAGCGTTATTGTCACCCCCGTCCTGTAAACTTATGGTGTCGTCCCCCCAACCCTGTTCTTGTATTAAACTGTGTTCTTTTTATGAAAGCGGCTCCAGCGAACTCAGCCAAATTTTTATTTTCCACCAGTCTGACTCCAAAAATTTAATCAACGTTTATCATGAAAGGAAGTAAGAGAAAACAAAAGGTAAAAAACAAAAAAAAACAACAAAAAAACAAACTAGATTAGTTTTGAAAAAGTTAGATCGATAGCTACTTTATACATTAAGCCATTTAATAGTATTATTTATTATAAGAGTAGGTCAGAAAGACGTTTTCTCCCTTGACAACAAGCTTTCAAACTTTTAAACCCGTTAATTATAGTTAGCATAATAATATGGGAAAAACATTGTTTTATTCATGAAGATCATGTGATTGTCACGGGTAAATAATTATTTTGATCGTCTCAAGTCTACTGTTTTAGAAAATCTTTCTGAAGATACGTTTTTAATTGATAAAGTGTACGATATCACCGACGGATGGCGCGGCTTGTGTATCCTCCCCTAATTTTCCTGCCCACCCTTCCCCCTTTAATCACAATAAAATGTTAAATCTCGTTCGGAGTGTGACTATATTCGGGATTATGTTCTCCATGTTTTTGGTCTTCGCTACCAACGACGCCACCGACATGCAAGAAAATGGAACTCAGTTACCAAGCCATCAGGACGGCTAATCAAGCACGTGAAGCTGTACGTAAATATTTGTTAAAAGATAGAAAGTTAAATATTGAAAAAACGGCGCAAACAGTAACATTCCGAATAATTTAACAAATGATTATTCACACTGAACTGACAGAGCACACATCACTGCACTGCACACACTCACACTGACGAGTAATTTGCTTGTAAACTAGTTGTAAAATGTAAACCAATGTAATTTGAATGTTAACTCACTAAACTTATGATTATGACTTAACTTAATTATAATATTAATAGAACATTAACATGGCTGTTAGTGTGAGTTTCAGTGACGTGAGTCAATGAGCGATACTGAGTGACTGCCTGCCTTAATTTAACTTAATTACTTTTGCCTTTTATTTACCCTGCTCCTTGCGTGGGACATAGACTAAGGACTAAGACTGTCTACCTACAGTCTACCTCTACTCTACAAGAATAGTCCACCTAGGGGTAGGCTCTGTACTTTCCATTTGCTTCCAGTTGTATTCTTTGGCCCTCTTCTTTTCCTTTTCCCTGTGGCTCCATGTTAGCTATTATCTGGTGATGTTATCTGGGTGTACGAAGAGTGTGCCCGGCTAAAGCTAAGAGATCATCAATCCTGTGATGTCATTTGCGTGTTTATTATAGTTGCAGTGAATTAGGGTTAGGGATATATTTAAGGTTCAGGTTAGGTTTAGGGATACATTTTGGGTTCAGGTTAGGTTTAAGGATACATTTAGTCTTAGTGTTCAGGTTGGGTTTAGGGATAAATTTATTTTAGGTTTAGTGACAGAATTAACTGGTTGTGTCAACCAAGATGGCGGCCATCGCGGGACATTCTTGATGCATTTACCATGTGCCCTATTCACTTCACCTTCATCTTTTTTATGTCTTCAGCAATAGGCTCTTGGTATGTCCACTCCAGTATGTCTTTGTTGGTGATGATAATGTTTGACCATTTTATATTCAGGATCTTTCTAATTGTGCTGTTTGTGAAGGTTTGTACTTTCTACATGATGCTCGCAGTTTATTAAGTTTGGCTCCAAAGTAAAAGAATAAAAAGTAGGACTGATTTAACATTTGTGTTGACTGACAGCTATAAAAAATGTCTCTATCTAGCCTAGTAACCCCTGAGACTGAGACTCAAAGTCAATTTTAGTCCAATTCCTGGCATATAAACAAGTGAACTAAGATCAATATTAATTATAATAATACTCGACTACCTTGTATATTACTACTATTAGAGTTAAAGTGTTAATGAATTTAATGTCGTTAGACCTTAGTAATTAAATTGCTGAGACAGTTATTAGTGTGAGCGGCAAGTAATTGCCTACATGTGATGATACATAGTTACATAACATCATAAGCACATGACATACTCTTTACACTGAATTGATACACTCTGTACTGTACTCCACGGTACATCATTGTTAAATATATTTAACTTATTGTATTGTTAGGATATTGTTGCCTGGTGTAGTAACTAATATTTTAGTAGTAGCCAAGTAGGCCTAAGTAAGGCCAAATAGGTAGGACATTTTGATTTATTCACCACTAATAGGCCTAACACTTTGCCTATCATAACTTGTCATAATAAGTTTAAAAAAATATTTGTCATATGTGCCTAACCTGGCCTGAAAATTTATTGCCATAGAGCAGGGGTCTAAAAATTACAGGCCAGTTATTGTTGACCAGGAGTCTTTTACCTGGTCTGCCTGGCCACTATACGGGTACCCAGGTAGCAAAGACAACTATGGAACCAGACATTGGCCATCTCATTAGCCAAAAACAGGCAGAGACCTCCTAGTTCAATACCAATAAGATTATGTTGATTAAAATTGCTTTTCATTTTAAATATTGTATTTTTTCACCTGATTTTTTTCATAACCAATATGATAAATGCAATGTGCTGAGGAATCTGCTTGTTTTGTTTATTCAAACTATGGTTTCTGAGGGACAGTGAAATGTACCCCGCTCTGTTTAAAAAAAATTTAGACCTTTTTAATGACAACTATTTTGTTATATGAAATAGTAGAACAAGATATGTGGAGGCTTGAATCAAAAGACAGGAGAATAAGATGTGAACATTTCGGTTAAGAGCCTTCCTCAGCCAACAGGAGATGTATTATGTTTTATATTTTATTTTGTGTAATCTCATCATATTTGACATATACATAATTTTCAAGTTCTTTTAAATAATGAAATTACAGGATGAGCTGAGGACAGATTCCAGAAAGAAAAATCTTCTCATACTTGTATTAAAATACCTCAATGAAGAAGGGTGAGATACTATTTAGGCCGTAATGTATTCATTATTTATAAATATGGCCTAAAATTTATACAATTAAAAAAAAAATTTACATTAAAATTAGCCTGATTCAAGGATAAACAATCTTACAATACTATAGTGATGCAAGTATAATATAAGGAATTCCATTCAAACATGAGCAGTTAATTGCACATCCAAATGAATTAATTACAGTCTTTTGAATTAAACACATATTATTTTATTTTTGTCCATGAACCATTGAGTTTGAATTCTATAATTTTTTTACATTTGCAAAGCTATTCAATAGAAATCTTTAGTAAACAAGTACTCTCTCCCCCCCCCCCCCCCTAGTTGGCATGTCCGTCCCATTATGGCATGTCGATTAAGAGGTCCTGCCACCTACCCACCTGGCATTACCTGGGCCACAATATCACCATGTAGGTTAGAAAAAGCACAGTTGCATGGCACTACCCAGTGCAGTTGAAAATAATGGCAGCAACAGGTTGGGCTATGATTAAACTTGCCGTTAATGGGTATGAGACATGGGTGGGTTGTGGCAACACATACAGATGATTCTATCATACAGCCTGTGAGGGGCCTTTTCCTAGGCAACCATTTTGTCCCAGCTACAATGTGATCATTCACAAAGTAGAAACTACATATAGAAATCCATATTACAGGGCAATCTGACACCACCATGGGATGGGGAGGGTTGTTTTCAGGGACATTAAAATATATACATGACAGTTACAAGAGAGTTTGACTGCAGGCGCGAAAGCAGCACCACCAGCTGACCAGGTGTTTCTTGGTTGATGCCACCCCACACACATAGTCAATCAAGTGGAAGGCGGGTGGGGCTGTCTAAGCTGGTGGGACTTCTTGGCCTGTCTAGTTAGCCCTATTGGGGTTGGGGAGAAGAAGGGGTATGTTGGGGACGACCTAATGAGCTCTGGCTCGGTGGTCTGTTGTTTTTCTTAAGATATTAGATTAGTAAACCAGCATTAAAATATATTTAAGGTAAACTTAATATTTATGAATGATGTTAAATAGCTATGCCTAAATTTTAGCATACTGAAAATTTATCAATATTGTTTAGAACTCATCTACTATAATTTAGCTGTTGAATAGTGACTGTTACAATTCATCATCATCTTCCACAGATATTTGGATTCAGCTTCTAATCTTTCAAGGGAAACTAACATCGACATTCACCGATATGAAGTCTGTGATAACATTGACTTGGAGACTATTCTCATGGAATATGAATCATATTATTATGTAAAATTTGCCAAATACCCCAAAATTACAAAGAAACTTTCTCCTCAAAGTGGTAAGACAATTTTTTTTAAAGCTTTGAAATAGGTACAGTATAAAATGGATGTTATTGAACTGTTAAAAAATAAACAATTGAATTATTTTGTGAAGTGATGAATAATCTGATGTGTATGGTATAAATGTTTAGATAAATTGCAATGGCACTTGAAATTTTAAATTATTTATGGGAAATGAAGTCAAATGATGGAACTATTGCATTTTTTCTCTACTGTCCAAATTATGGCTTGTTCTATACTCACTATACTCAAAGTGGCAATGGGAGGTTTAAGAAATTGTTTTATAATTGTTTTAAATCGCATATCCTAAAACCCATGATGCCCTAATGCCATGCAAATAAGGACATTTCTACAGTGTGGGACCTATTCTGATCTTGTTTGTTTAGCAGAATTTATTAAAAATAATATTGCAATTTCAAATCTGTAATAGGGTTAATTGGCAAGCTACTAAACAAAACTGGAACAATCAAATGCTATAATTTTACTTAAAATAGAGAACTGTATAAGCTTAACAACAAAAAATACAATTGAGCTTCATTAGGATAGCACTTCCTTATCACACAGATTGTCACACATAAACAAATTGAGTCTTTAAGGCTATGGGAGTGACTCCAACAGAAAAATCCTGAAATTATTCCCATTTACAGTAAGCAGTATGACATTGTATGCAATGAAAATTCTGGCAACTCCTTTGACACCCCCTGATACCAAGTTGCATTTTCCATGTGATCATTGCACCAGCTGCTGGACGAAGGGGGGGATCTTGGGTTACTGGAAAACAGTCAATTCTTTATGGCTTTGCAACTTACAGCAAAACAACATCATCTCTTAGAAATATACAGGCGCCAAATTTTTTAAAACTATTTATTTATCGCTCCCTTATTTATCTAGAAATTTATAAAAAGTTATCAATTATTTCCTTATATTTTAATAAATGTTAATTATTTTTCTTCCAGGCATGCCAGGTATCTGATTTTATTTCTTAGATGTTCAGTGTCTTTGATTGCAAGAATTAAAAGTATTAGAGCTCATATTATTATACCATATATACTGAGCTTTATAAGTCTCATTTCAAGAGATAATTATATCCAAAGATTTTATCAAAAACCTTTAAATATATTGATTCTATGTTAAGAAATTATCACTATTGCATTTTGGTGGTCCGTTGACAAAACTGTACACCTTCAAAGCTAATTCACTGGATATCTTTATCTGATTCCTTACTCAACTGCTTTTGTCGTGAATTTGTGGATTCACATTAATTAATTTAAGCTTTGTTTTTTAATGAATTTCTATGATGTTATTTTCCTAATGAATTAGTAATTTATGTGGTTTTTAAAAGGATCCATATTGACTACAGTATTAAAATTTACTAAAACTCAAACACTTATGGTCTATAAATTGTAATAAGCTAATCTATTTATTTTACATTCAAATTTTTCTATTTAGCTAAAAGTTTAAGCTCATCTGAAATTGTCTGTCTGCATTTGAGAAATAAATACAGAAGTTTGTATTATATATAAAACTATTTTAAAGCAATTTTTTTCCTTTAAATTTCTGAAATAAACTTCTTTTCAATAAATCCTCATTACAATCAGCAGTTCTTAAGCTTTGTGAATATTTAATAATTTGTTTCCATTTCAAATTTGCGCACAGGATAAAGGCAGGGGAATATCTTAAGAAACAATATTTATTATTTAAAACTTTGATAATCTTTTTGCGATATTTAATAACATTCAACATTTAAAATTGTAATTGGCTCTATAGAGGTATTAGTAACATAAAAGATAACAGGTTTATACTTTAAGAAATCAATTTTCATAGCTAAAAATAATAAGAATAATTAAACTAGATTGTCCACATTTATTGAACAGTGCAGGATTCTAACCTTTACAAAGAATACATTTATTACAATTATTTAAATTTTAAAAATATTTCATCCAGTCATTTCCTCATCATTTTGTTTTAGGAAAGTTAACACTATTTTTTTAAACAAATAAATTATAAAAATTTGTTCAAATTATGAATTTAAAATCTATCTAATTTATTTTAATTTTGACAGCAGGCAATTAACATTTGAAAAAAGTTTCATGCTTTGAAATTCTGTTATTTCAGGATATTTATTCTCAAAATCCTGATGTTACCACAAATGGTGGTGAGACAATTAATGGTGTTCAAACAATGAATAGTGGTCACTCAATGAATGGTGGGGATACAATGAATAGCTAAAAATAATAAGAATAATTAAACTAGATTGTCCACATTTATTGAACAGTTGCAGGATTCTAACCTTTACAGAGAATACATTTATTACAATTATTTAAATTTTAAAAGTATTTCATCCAGTCATTTCCTAATCATTTTGTTTTAGGAAAGTTAACACTATTTTTTTAAACATATAAATTATAAAAATTTGTTCAAATTATGAATTTAAAATCTATCTAATTTATTTTAATTTTGACAGCTGGCAATTAAAATTTGAAAAAATGTCTCTCGATAAACACATATCTCACATTTGTCGTTCAGCATACACCACTATCCGTCAGATCAGCTCCATACGTCACTACCTCACAGTTAGGGCTACAAAAACTCTAGTCTGTGTTCTTGTTCACTCCCGTCTTGATCATTGCAACTCTCTTCTGTCAAGTTCACCAAAACACTGCATAGAAAAATTGCAGAAAGTTCAAAACTCAGCTGCTAGGCTAGTTTTAAGGCAAAAAAAAGGTGATCACGTCACTCCACTACTCCATTCCCTTCATTGGCTACCTATACAGGCACGCATTGACTACAAGTTGTTTGTTCTCTGTCACAACTTTACTTGGATTTCTGCCCTTCCTATCTAACCGAACTTCTTTCTGTCTATTCACCCCTTCGACAGCTTTGCTCCTCTGCAGACACGCGTATTCTGTCCGTTCCCAAGACACACACTAAAACATATGGTGAACGATCTTTCTCTTTCTGCGCCCCCAAATAATGGAATTCTTTGCCACTACATATACGCAATATACCAACCAACCAGGCCTTCAAAACTGCACTCAAAACACATCTTTTTAAATTATACTACCCTGAGTGATTCCCCTCCTCTGACCGATAAACGATCTTGCTGGTTGCCGTCCATGGTTTGCCTTGTAAAAGTTATGTGTTGGGGTGGGTGAATATACATTTTTTTTGCTGTTCTTTATTTCATAAATGCATTTTATTTTGATGTCATGATTATGTCTCTTTTGATAAAATTTTTATGTACAGCGCGGTGAGCCCAGCCCTAGGCTGGGGTACAGCGCTATATAAGACCCCTTTATTATTATTATTATTATTTTGGGGAGCATTTTAGAATTGTCAGTAAATTTTCAATTTTATTAACAGGTGGTTCTTGTATGGCCTTGAGACTTCTGGGAGTCATTATCCTATTACAATTTAAAAACTAAAGCAAGATTTTCTGTCATTTCAGCTGGTGCATCAGATAAAAGAACACAAGTCAAACTAAACAGAACAAATAGGTAGGTGTACTATTTTAAGATTAAATTATGCTTGAGTAACCACTGTAAAGATTCACTGATTTATTTTATTAGATCAGTCAAAGAAATTTGACAAAGTCCAAAAATCATTATTTCTCTAATCACTTTCAGAAATTACAGACCTGTTTACATCTGAGTTCTGCACATAATTTTAGGGACTGGAAAATTAGTGTTTTCTTGAACATTTGAAACAGCATGCACTCTGTCCTAAAATCTATGTAGATCAAGTCAATAATCTGATTTTGAAAGTTCATTTATTTAAATATTTTCTGTGCTTAATACTATACTTTCTGTTTTTTTTTAGTTCTGCAAACTTTCAAGACATTACAATTGCAAAGGTCAAACCAAATGTTCTAATCTTTTTTAACTTACAGTGTAAAAACAAATAGTCCATCCCTTCCCAGAATCCCACAGACGACTCGGCCGCCATCACCACCACAGCAGCAGCCCCCCATAGCTCGCCCAGCTTCAGGATCAGGCAAAAACAAGCGCACTGTTACGTCATCAACACGTAAAGGCATAAACCCCGTAAACCCACAGGTCTGTATTGTTTAGTTATGTTTTGCGGTAGCATACATAAATTCATATCCAGCTCAACTTTAAATTCTGTTTGTCTTAAATGACCCCTCACCCCACTTTATCTTTTAACCTTAATGGCATACAAATCCTATAAATTATAACCTTATCAGTTTGAATTTTTAAGCTCACAAAATTTGTACACTAGCTTTGGAGTTTCCTTTAATTTGGACATTATTCTAATATATTAGTTTGGTTATTATTCAGCTGAGAGATGTTGGTGCTGCTAACGGCAATGGAGATGGACTGTCCTTACAAGGCATTACAGTTCATGGGAGCAATGGAGCAGCTGAGCCATCAACAGTGCCTACATTAAAACAGCGGCCAAAAGTGAGACTAACCAGCACTTGTTTTACAATGATGGCTCTGTGTAATTGTGTGTGTGTGTGTAGGTAAAGGAGGGTGGGGTAAAAAAAAAAAGCTCAAAACTTTTGTAGGTCATTTTTGCATAATTTTATAAATTAACCATGAATATTATTTGCATGTTAAATACATGATAATTATATTAAATTTTAAATAAATCTTATTTCTGCTCCAAATAATACCTCTTTTTTAACATTTAGAAGTAAATACTTACTAAAAAGAAATAGGAATAAAATGGTTTAAATAACCAGCCATAAAAGTTATAAGGTATAAGTGTTAGTGCAAAAGAAAATGTGTTTTTTTATGGAAAATATCTTTAATATGATCTTTATTTATTTCTCTCTTTGAACATAGCTGGGCCAAATAATTGATATACGCACAATGATAAATGAAGCTACAAAACTGAATGTTGAAGAAGGGGGGGATTCCATTGGATCTGTGAGTAACCTCAAATGTATATATTTATTTTTTAAATACCGATAGATTTGTCAAGACTCTTAATATATGAATTAATTTATCTTGTTAATCAACTTATTTTTATGTGTATTAAATGATTTTTCATTATTACTTAAAAGTAATTAATCATACCAAACTTTGATGTCTTATTGGTTATGAAATGTAATTTTACTTTTGACCATCTTTATAGGACAAAATCTTAAAGCCTCTAGGTGGTTATCTTGGTTATAATAGTGAATGGAGGGAACTAGCACAAGTTATATCACGGGTAAAAACTATTTTATTTCTTCTTCACTTTTGCAACATCTATGCTCAAATTCTTTAAAAACAAAAAAAGAACAGCTTCTTTTTTAGACTGCATTAAGGCACACACAATACACTTAAGTACGATATTGAAGTTTTTTATTGATTTGATAAGAGAAAAATTAATTGTACTGTCCTCGTTGGTTTTTTTTTTGAAAACGGATACCAATAATCTCTTGCAGTGGTTAGCAAGTAATCCAAACTCAATTCTTATAATGTTTGTAAAAAATAACAGATACCAATAGTCTCTTGCAGGGGTTAGCAAGAAATCCAAACCCAATACTTATAATGTGTGTAAAAAATAACAGTACCATGTGTATTACCTAGCATATAAATAAAAGAAAATATCTAGAGAAAATATTTAAAATTACTAATGGATTCAAAATGGATTTTTAATAAAGTTTTATCTTTAGTTTTGTATGTTTGACTTTAGTACAGTTAAAGTAGAAGTAAAGGCTTGCTTTGTATTACATTAGTTTCTTTTAGTTTAAGTTATCTTAGACCATTTAATTTAAGTACTGGATTTTTAAAAAGAAATGTAGTCCAAATATTTAAACCGCTTTTATTTAAAGGAAACTGAAATCTCTGGGCTGCTAATTATTAATTTCAAATGTTAGTTAATAAATTTAAAAAAAATATTTTTATTTTGACAGCCGGCAATTAACATTTGAAAAAAGTTTCATGCTTTGAAATTCTGTTATTTCAGGATATTTATTCTCAAAATCCTGATGTTAAATGGGATGACATTATAGGTCTTGATGAAGCCAAAAGATTAGTCAAAGAGGCTGTTGTTTATCCCATTAAGGTAGTACTGCTATTTAAATAATTATAATTTGAGCAGCTCTTAAATCCAGCTCTAAACATTTGTACTATCAAATGAGCATCTAAAACAAGTAGGTCAATTCATAGTATAAACAGAGCTTAACTACATAAAAGGTGCAGCAAGTCTATAAATGATATAGTAATTTTAAAAAATGTGTGAAGAAATGTTTATCATTATAGATATATCTAATAATTGGAATAAAATATCTTTTATATATTAATGAAATTTCTTAGACTTAGACCATGATTCTGGTACTCTTCTTTTTTTCAGTATCCACAGCTTTTCCAAGGTATTCTCTCCCCTTGGAAAGGCTTACTTTTGTACGGTCCTCCTGGTTAGTACCTTTAGAGTATAGTCTGTTAACATATTTTTAGTTCATGCAACTGTGACTGTATTTATATAGTGTTCAAGGGACATAGTACTTTTTAGATCAATTTAACTTGTTTATTTAATAGGAACAGGAAAAACTTTGCTTGCAAAAGCAGTGGCAACAGAGTGCAATACAACCTTCTTTAATATTTCTGCATCAAGCATTGTTAGCAAATGGAGAGGTGATTCTGAAAAACTTGTCAGGGTGAGTGTCACCACTACTCATTGTATCACCACTTTTGATTGTATCACCACTATTCATTGTATCACCTCTATTCATTGTTTCAACACCATTAATTGTATCACCATCATTTGTGGTAACATCATTTTCTATTGTATCACCACATTTATTGTATCACACCTATTCATTTATGAAGGAAATGATCGAATCATTGTTTCAATGAGTGATAATTGACGTGATATTTTGACTTTATTTTCTGTCAGGTTTTATTTGAGCTGGCAAGATTTCATGCACCCTCCACAATATTTCTTGATGAGCTGGAATCTGTTATGAGCCAACGAGGATCTCAAGGAGGAGGAGGGTAAAAAACATAAATTAATGGATTTTAAACATTTTTTATATTTTTGTTTTCAATGTCTAACAACACCTGTATAAAAAAAGTGTGGTGCCATCATTCACATAGAAAACTAACATACAATTAAAATACCGGTATGTAGAATTACGCTTTAGATAAATTATTTCAAAAGTAAAATTTGACTAATAATTATGTTGAAAGCAGATAAAACTTTATAATTTTCCTGATATTTCAGTGAACATGAGGGTAGCCGGAGAATGAAGACAGAACTACTAGTTCAAATGGACGGACTGTCAAAGACGGATGATTTAGTTTTTCTTTTAGCCGCTTCCAATTTACCTTGGTGAGCAATTTATCATTTTAAAAACAAATTATAATTTTTTTTTGTGTGGTTAGGGTTATGGTGGCTAAATGCCTAGAAAAATCCGTTACAAAAGCAAGACGTAATTTTTAAAAATAAATTAAATTAAAAAAAAAAACCAAAAAAAAAACAAAAAACTTTTATTGACTTTGAATCTGATTTGAAAAGATTGTATTTTAAGTGTCATTTCAAAGAAAATATGTACACATTTTTTAAAACACTGTTTTAAGTTTTGCTAAGTTAATTTTTATATAAGTTTGATGTGGAGATACATAACAAAATCTCACCAGATGTAGAAATAGTCTTCAGAGCCTGATAATAGTAATGGTCACAGAGAAGCTGCTACACACTATTAGCTGTGTGCTGTGTATTACTTTATCTGATTTATCACTCATGCACTTTCACTAAACAAAGAGATTGGTAACCATTAAGGGTTATTTTAAAAAGCAATTCATTCATTGTAAAGTAAATAATGTATCAAACATGAACAAATTGTAATTCCAAAGTTATTATTTTACCTTGTTCAAAACATATTATTTTTTTACAGCTTTGATGTCATTTAACATAAATCTTTTTTTAATGTTGTGATTCAGTTTTTAAAATATTAACCTATATATCTAGGGAACTGGATCACGCTATGCTAAGACGCCTTGAAAAAAGGATTTTGGTTGACTTGCCGACTCAAGAAGCCCGTAGAGCTATGTTTAAACACCACTTACCTCCTGTGGTGTCATCCAAAACTGGGGGACTGGAACTACTGGCAGAGCTTGATTATGATTTGTTAGCTGGGGTAAATCAATGAGCTTAATTTATATGTAAATCATGTTTCTTACAGCATTAAACAATAAATTATTTTGTGAACCTTATTTTCAAATTCTACTTAACATTTCTACAGAATACAATATCTGTAATAAACCTTGATAGTCCATTTAAGTAAAATCGTTCACTGCTTGAATTTTTTCCAAATACAAATTAAAGCAGAGCTCATAATTTAAATGTTTTATATTGATTATCAAAGAAACGGTGCATAAGAAATATTTTAAAATCTCTTTTGTTAGTCATTACAGAATTGTTTTCCATAAATTTTTAGAAAACTGATGGTTATTCGGGTTCAGACATCCGATTGCTTTGTAAAGAAGCAGCCATGCGCCCTGTTCGAAAGATTTTTTTTGCTCTTGAAAACCATACAGAAGGTAAGCAAAATGCAGTTTATGCCCGTTAGCTTTTCAATATTCATGAAATAATTTTAATTATTTTTTGCCCCGTAAAACTGATTAAAATAAGTTTGCAATTTTGTTTTTTTCTAGGAGAAGAGCTTCATATCCACTTAGATAAGATAAAAACAAGTGATGTTCTTGCTGCTTTGGAAAGAACTAAGCCATCTGCCAAGACCATGAAACAAAAATATGCTGATTGGCAAAAAGAATATGAATCTGTATAGCAGGAAAAACATGCATGCTTTTATATTACTGTGGTCCTTATTTGATTTTCACATTAAAAAAAAACAGAATGTGTTCACAATAACATGTCTATAAAATGTGCAAATATATACCCAATTGATACAATTTATCACATAAATATCTGGTAGTAAAATTGGTTTTAAAAATCTTATTTACATAATTTTTATTGATAATTCTCATACATGAATCTCCAGAAGTTTGATAAAAATTTCAATGAAATTGCAAATAAAAGGGATATGTAAAACACTTCCTTGTGCATTAATTTCAAGCTAAAAAGTCTGTGATAATTTTAATATTTAAATATATATTTTAAAGAATGCAGTGCTGTGGGATGCTTTCAAAATAACATTCCTGATAGAAAAAGCCCTCATGATTTTATTATAAACAATCAAATTGCAGTCTGTCCCAAACTTTTAAAAATAATTGTGCAAATTAATCTGTCATTTTGTCTTTTTTTGTATTGTTTCAAAACAAAATTTGCTGATTTTTTTAATGTGCTCTATAACAAGTGCTCAGTGACTTGACCAACAGTATTATTTTGCTTTTGTAGTTAACACAACTTTGGAAGGTAATAACTCAAATGTATTAATAATTGAGTGAAATTTCATTTACAACTGAATTCATGCAAATATTTCCATTTTACCCTCCTCACCCATTGTTACATTTGATCACAAGTTACCTTGCTTAAGACAAGTTGTGTCAAAATGTTTATCAACTTCTTTTGCTCAAAGCAATTACTGAAAGCCTAAGAGAGAATGTACATTTAAAAGTTTTTTGGTTCAATTTAAAAAACAACATTTTTTCTGTATGAAGGTATGTAGTTTTATTGAGAAAAAATTATTTTCTTCAGAAAGAATATTTAAAATATGAAGGGAAACAATTCTGTGTAACAACTACAATTCAACATTTTCATTTTACAGATGTGTATGAAACTCATTTTTATTGTTGGATTTCAAATTGATTAATCTGTTTCAACAGTGTTTCTAACATCATTGAATAAATATGTGCTCACCACTTCCATCTTCAAGGTGTGATGTAAAATTTAGCATCTAGTTCACAGATATATATAAAATGAAATTAAAGCATGAAGTAGTAGACTGAAATTAGCTACTTATAATTTCAAACTACTCTTTGACCTTTCAAACCTCTTCTGTGATATTTTTGCCAAGTATCTTATCCATCTATACAAATGATTATTGATGATATAGTTTTTACCCATAGTGCATTGCAAGTTACTGAAATTTCATGTAGGTGTATATTAAAAGTGTTATTTATTTAAAATATTGCTTTTAAATAGACACATTAAAAAAAACAATAATAATGAACTTGTGTTAAATTGTTTTCTATTAATTTCATGTAGAACCAGTGCTTGTTATGGTATAGATATGGTTGCAAGGGAAATAAAATTTATTCCATGGCAGCTTGTCTTTATTTGCATATGGATTTTATAATTTCATTAAAAATTAATTAATTAACAATATTTATGCAACTAGTAAAATATGTTTTCTTGATATTTCAGATAGATAAGAAATATTTCATAATAATATATTTACAAACAAATTTTTTTTTATCACATGACCTAAAATTTTCTGTTACATTGCTTGTAGGCCAATCACAGCTGATTTTTTTAATACCTCCCATGCCCATATTTTTGCATCCAACATGTTTCCAAATACAAAAATATACATTGATTTAAGTATAGGAAAAGGTAGCAGAGAAAACGCGCAAAGCTCCTTGTGCACTGTTAGACTTGCTCAGAGAATCCTCACACTTACCAATCATTACTTTCTGTCACGTCAGTGCGATTGAGTTTGTCACATCAAATTTGTTCTCACATTCAAACATCGTAATCCCATTAAAACTGAACACGATTCCTATTCCAAGAACAACGAGACAACGTAAAATTAAATCCAAGTTACCTGTCAGCTGGTCATATAATTATTCATACAGGTATAGCACAGCTCACTAAAGGTATTCAATGCAACCTACACAACATTCTGTGAGCAACAGTTATAAGTCAATATCAATTCTCGACGCTCTCCTAATAATATTAATCAACAAAAATCATATAACTGACAACTCTAGAAAAAATTGACTTGCTAGAACATGCACTTAAATTCTGTGTTCATACTTAAATTAATTAAATTACATGGAATTAGGCCTATTTTATCTGACACTAATGGACTCTGCAACGTTGTAATTAGTGACAGCAGCTTAAAATTTCAAAATATTTTATAAGTTCGAAGAGCATACCGCTAGGCAGTGGGGAAAAAACGTTTAAAGTTTAGCTTTTTTAAAACACCAAGGATATTTTCACGTCAAAAGCTATGAACATCTGCGATATTTTTATACATTTCTACACTTAAAGACATAAGTTCAAATAAACCAATAGAGCTATTAAAATTATATTTATTTTGTGATTATCCCATGTTTTATTTTAATTAGATCTAAAAGCATTAGACATACGTCTCAAATACAGAAAAATCTTAAAATCATCTACCATTTTAAATGTCAATGTATTAAATTGTTTAAACATTGGTCACCTTAAGCATAACTGCAACGTCTCATTCAAAAATCAAGTATTTACTTTTTGACTGAAATCTAAAAATGATCCAATGCAAATGGGAATAAGGGGAAGTGACTTCAAAAATCTTTATACAGTGGAACCTCGGATAACGAACGCCTCATTTGACGAACTAGTCGGTTATCGAACAGGTTTTGTTTGCAACTATTGTCTCGGATAACGAACGATGTTTCAGGTTACTAAAATAAGCATGTGTCTGTGCACACAATCCCACCGGGTCTGTGCACACAATCCCACCGTGTCTGTGCACACAATCCCACCGTGTCTGTAGTTTGCAGTAAACACTTTTGTCCGAGTGCTGAATTAAAAAAAAACACTTTGGTTGGTTTGTTTAGTTTCAGTTTTTGTGTTAGTTTAGCGCTTATTAGGGCGCAGTTTAGCGCTTATTAGGGCGCAGTTTAGCGCTTATTAGGGCGCAGTTTAGCGCTTATTAGGGCGCAGTTTAGCGCTTATTAGGGCGCAATTTAGCGCTTATTAGGGCGCAGTTTAGCGCTTATTAGGGCGCAGTTTAGTGCTTATTAGGGCGCAGTTTAGCGCTTATCAGGGCGCCTAAAGAGAAACGTGTTGCTAATAGGAGTCGTGTTCTTGTAGGAGTAAAGAGAGACATTGTATTCAAACATGACAATGGCCGCTATGTTGTCGACATCGAAAAGTGGCTGATGTCACGATGAGACTAAAGGAGTGGATGACGTAGCTTCATGAGTGGAGGATGTGACTAAAGGAGTGGATGATGTGACTAAATGACTGGATGATGTGAGTAAATGAGTGGATGATGTGACTAAATGAGTGGATGATGTGACTAAAGGAGTTGATGATGTGACTAATGGAGTTGATGATGTGACTAAAGGTGTAGAAGATGTGACTAAAGGAGTGGATGATGTGACTAATGGAGTTGATGATGTGACTAAAAGAGTATTTGTTGCAATGAAGAAAAAAGTCCTAATTGCTAGAGGAAGTAGAAAAAAACTATTGATAGTTTGAAAAAAAAGGAACATAGCGATTGGTGATGATGTTTAGGGAGACCATAATTTTTGAAAAGGCGAGGCTTTTTTTTGGTGATTTGTTGGCCGAAACATCAAGTTCAAGGGCTGAAAGCGATCAGTCAAAAGACTGTGGTTTGACGAATTTCGCCGAAGAAAATTACTTTAAAATATAAAGTTGCAAATGTACAAGGCTGAAACTGATCAAATGAATTGAGTTAACTGACCGAGTCCCCAAATTAATATATTATGCATATAATGTATAAATGTACCTAGATCATATATCATTTATTGGTTGGGGGGACGGGGGGGACTAGCTTTTAATTTTGCACCGCTCTGGTACACACCCTTGATTTGCGAGATTCAAATACTGGCGAGTTGTAAACTCATAATATACTCCTTTCGGAACCTGGGTCGCCATCCTCATTGTCCATATCATAAAAGCTGTATTAATATTAGGGACTGTGAAGATGGAGTGTTCGTCCAAACCAGATCTGATGATAGGCTGTTCAATATCGCCCGCCTTGGTGCAAATACCAAAGGAAAAAAGGTGCTGATTCGTGAACTGCTGTTCGCTGACGATGCCGCCTTAACATCTCACACAGAAGAAGGTCTGCAGGGGCTGGTTAATCCTCTATCACACGCTTGTAAAGAATTTGGTCTTTCGATTAGTGTACAGAAAACTCATGTAATGATGCAAGAAGCACCGTCCCCTCCAAATCTTATCTATTGAAGGTCATAATCTTTCGGTTGTTGATCATAATCTTTCGGTTGTTGATCATTTCACATACCTGGGATCCAATATTTCTAGTTCTCTCTCCGTTGATGAAGAGATAAATATCAGGATCGCAAAAGCAGCAGCAACTATGGCTAAGCTGAATAAGCGGGTGTGGAATAATCTCAATCTTACTGATAAAACAAAAATAAGTGTCAATCAGGCATGAGTGCTGAGCACGCTCCTATATGGTAGCGAAGTGTGGACCACATACACCAGCCAGGAGCAGAAACTCAACAGCTTCCATCAAAGATGTCTACGTCGCATTTTACGCATTCGTTGGCAGGACAGGGCGCCTAACGTGGAGGTTTTGGAACGTGCACACATGTTTAGCATATTCTCCTTTCTTATCAAGAGGCACCTTCGCTGGTTAGGTCATGTACGGAGAATGGAGGAAGGACGTATCCCAAAGATACTGCTGTATGGAGAGTTGGCAGAAGGGACAATACATATTGGACGACCACGCCTGAGATTTATTGACGATTGCAAACGAAGCATGGGGGAAGCCAATATTGAAACAATGGGAGTTCATTGCTGAACATCGCTCCAACTGGCGTACAGCAGTGTTTGGAGGAGTGAAAAAGGCAGAAGATACTCGAAACGAGGCCCTTGAATCAAAAAGAACAATTCGAAAATCAAGAAGTTACCGGGATTCAATATTCTCCTGCGAGAGATGCGGCCGTGATTGCCATTCTAGGATTGTCTTAGTGAGCCACTCGTCAAAGTGTAGAACTATATAGCTACTCCATTGTCTCACGAAGACGGAAGGATGCCATATATATATTAATATTAGTAGACTAAAAAATAGGCTTCTATATGAATTTATGGATTCCCCATTGTGAGGGTCTTCGCCATTTATGGGAGACTTTCAATAGATAAAAAATATAGGGAAAATTTAAGATAACTGTATAAACAGTTCAAATATTTCATTTTAACAATAAGCATTGAAAAGTTTGAGTCTGTTTTGCTGAACATAACATTTAAAGAAACAATCCAAATCAAACACACAATGAAAATATTGTAAGTTAGGGATTTGTGACATTCATGTGTATAGTTACCATAGTTACCCTAGTTAACCCAAAGGCAAAAACTAAACACGACACACAAACACATAATAATAAGACAAAAGTAATATTTAATATAATATAAATATATTATCTGTCTCAGATCAACTAGTCTTTGTATCAAGAACTCAAATGAAAGATCTTCAGTAATTTCTTCAGTGTCTTCAAGCCTCGATCTGGCTTTGATGATGTTTTCTCTGTGTTGGATTGGTTTTCTTTGATCGGGGATAAAATGTTAATTCGGTAGTGTCATTTAAAAAAAAAAAAAAACACAGCAAACAACATTCAGTCGATGTGTTACACAGCAAACAACATTCAGTCGATGTGTTACACAGCAAACAACATTCAGTCGATGTGTTACACAGCAAACAACATTCAGTCGATGTGTTACACAGCAAACAACATTCAGTCGATGTGTTACACAGCAAACAACATTCAGTCGATGTGTTACACAGCAAACAACATTCAGTCGATGTGTTACACAGCAAACAACATTCAGTCGATGTGCTACACAGCAAACAACATTCAGTCGATGTGCTACACAGCAAACAACATTCAGTCGATGTGCTACACAGCAAACAACATTCAGTCGATGTGCTACACAGCAAACAACATTCAGTCGATGTGCTACACAGCAAACAACATTCAGTCGATGTGCTACACAGCAAACAACATTCAGTCGATGTGCTACACAGCAAACAACATTCAGTCGATGTGCTACACAGCAAACAACATTCAGTCGATGTGCTACACAGCAAACAACATTCAGTCGATGTGCTACACAGCAAACAACATTCAGTCGATGTGCTACACAGCAAACAACATTCAGTCGATGTGCTACACAGCAAACAACATTCAGTCGATGTGCTACACAGCAAACAAAACTCAGTCGAAGT